AACAAACAATTATTTAATTAAAACATATACTCTAGCATAATCTGTTAATCGTTATCAAAAATCTTATGTAAATTTTAAAAACAATAAATTTATTGATAATGATTTATAGATTGTGTAAATGAATACAGCTTTCATTTGAATTATCTTGCTAATTAAATTATTATACATCACAATATTTTTAGATTTTTCTATTAATGTGCTCAAGCAAGATATTTTACATAATCTTTTAATAGTTTTTAGATATCTATGATAATAAAATATTAAAATTTATTAACTATTAAAAGATAATGTGAATAAACATCCATGTCACAAATTAATATTATCGGTAACTAAATTATTAAAAATTTAAAATAAATAAAATTTGGGTTCATATTTAGTATATTATATAATTTTTATAAACAACACCATTTACATAATACCGCAATCATTATTAATGTACCGATAATGACTACTTCAATAATATTTTTGTATTTTTATTAAATATAATATCAAATAATCGTTATATTAATTTAAGATAAATTATGTTTTACGCAAAATTGTATGATTAAAATTATGAATAAATATTTCAATAAATAGCGACATAAATGCCGCAAACAAACCATTGCCTAATAAAATGAAAAAAACGAGCGAATCACTGATTTTAATGATTACATTTTTATTATGATTTTCCCGATTGTCATAACTCTCTGTCCACTTGTCTTTTGATTTATTCAATGAATCCATAAAGTGGTTGAACTGAATGTCTTCTCTAATCCTTTTGGTGGTTATCCCCGAATGTAATAAATTATAAAACCTTTGGACACAAAGAAAGTTTATAAACTTTTCACAAAAATACACTATACTTACAATCGGTTTAATTTATGTTTGAGTTGCGACTTTAGGCTGTATCTCATGGGAAAGGTGACAATTTGCGGGTATATACTGTTTTGGCACAAATGCCAGGGATAGCGGTTGTGATAGCTCATCACCTGCCGAACCGACTGCTCACTGGCCACCAGTGCGTGCGATTCCTCCACCAGTTTTCTGATCACATTTGCACTGAACATATCCGAATGGCTGATGAACACAAACCTATTGGTCAGCGATTTGTACTCCTTATGTGTAATCATAATCAGTAAAAATCAGTAAAAAAGGAAATAAAAAACTATTTTAAACACAAATACTTTGGCGATCATGTAGTAGGCATTGGACTGGGCTTTGATGAGCGGTACGATGTCTGGCCGCTCAACCAACTGCTCAATTGAGTCCAAATATAAGGTCCGTTTGGCGGATATGGAGGCCTCGATATCGCTGGTAAACATGAGTCTTAACACGAATGTTGTGATCAACCAAAAGCCTATGGATATATTGATGTGAATCTGAAATATATAAATATTTGCGGCAAATATCATGTTATCAATGCTTTGGCCGACGAGTACACCGAAGTAGTCGAAGACAACTCCCAAACGATTCCAATAGTCTTTAATAACCACTGAATTGATGAATGAATTCATTACGAATGCCATTAATATGAGAGTCCACATGGAGTTTGCGAACACATAGAATATGTTGAGAATATTGCCCCTGCTCACTATTGGCACACTTAATATACTCAATCGGTTTCTTGAGGTGAAAAACTCGCCGAAATCTATTGGACTGTCTTTGATGTCTCGGTACGCAAACAATTTTAATATAACGTCCGCTGACTTTCAAATAAATAAATCAAAAATTATAAATAAATCCTGATTAGGGATTAGGACACCTGATTAGGTGCACCACCTGGTTTGCAATTAGCGATAGGATCCCATTCCAGGTACCGTTTGAGAGTAGACCACCACTGATGTCACTTGCTGATATTTTATAAGAAATACTATATATATGTTTAAATAAGTATTATTTAGTTTAGATATAAGTCAATAAGTATTAAATTTGTCCAACATAAATGATGATGTTCATACCTTGATTGCAGCGATAGGGCAATGAGTTTAATCATATAGTTTGTAGAACTGCACACATATTGTAAGCCTTCAAATTTGAATATCTCATTGAAATATAATAAAAATTAAAATGATTTTATAATATATTCAAAGTCTCTAATAAATACCTCGGATGGAAAAAATGCAATAATTAAGTTTTCACTTATATTTTGCCCAAAAGTTAAATTCTCACTTTCACTCCATTTCATGCAAAACTTTTCTCTTTTTAAACTCATTTTAAAAACTCATTATAATATTGGACAACTTCATCAATAACACTTATTATAATAACTCAAAATGAAAGTACCATAAATGTCATGTCAATTGAAATGAAATGTCATGAAAACTTATAATTATCACATCAGTTGGCTTTGTCTAGATAAAAACTCAATATGTTTGTTATGTTATATAATCAATAAATGAGTTTTAGTTATCAAATATTAATAATTGCAATAAATGATTTGATTAAAATAATATTAAACCCAATATTAACACCACACCTATTGGATTGCATGTAATTTAGACAATATTGTTTGTTATTAACATGTATTTTTATTTTTAAAAATGTATTACAACATACCCCAAAATATAAACACAAACAATTATATTAATTAATTTTAGATTGACATTTTCCTAATTATAATTCATTTCATTCTAAGATTTTATTAAAATATAATAT